GGTGGGATCATAAGAGGGATGGGTGGGATCAGCAGTGGGGTGGGTGGGATCATCAATGGGGTGGGTGGGATCATCATTGGGGTGGGTGGGATCATCAATGGAGTGGGTGGGATCAGCAGTGGGGTGGGTGGGATCATCATTGGGGTGGGTGGGATCAGCAGTGGGGTGGCTGGGATCAGCAGTGGGATGGGTGGGATCAGCAGTGGGGTGGGTGGGATCAGCAGTGGCGTGGGTGGGATCAGCAGTTGGGTGGGTGGGATCTCTGGGATGTGTGGGATCATCAATGGGGTGGGTGGGATCAGCCATGGGATGGCTGGGATGGGTGGGATCAGCAGTGGGATCACTGGGATTGGTGGGATCAGCAGTGGGATCACTGGGATGGGTAGGATCAGCAGTGGGATTGCTGGGATGGATGGGATCAGCAGTGGGATCGCTGGGATGGATGGGATCATAAGTGGGATCACTGGGATTGGTGGGATCATCACTGGGATCACTGGGACGGATGGGATCAGCAGTGAGATTGCTGGGATGGATAAGGACCATTGGTAGGATCATGGGATCAATGGGTGACATGGGTGGGATCATCGGTGGCATCAGTGGGGTTGCTGGTATCACTGGGCTGGATGGGATCACCAGGAGGATGGGTGGATCGCTGGGATCTCTGGGCTGGTGGGATGGCTGGGACCGTCGGTGGGGTCATGGATCCATGGGTGTTAAGGGTGAGATCATGGATGGGATCACTGGGACAGCAGTGGGGTCAGTGGGATCGATGGGACTGGTGGGATCATCAGTGGGACGGGTGTGATGGGAGGGATCGCTGAGATCACTGGGATATCGGGGGGGAGGGATCACCACTGGTGTCATGGGATCAGTGCGTGGCACGGGGTCATTGCCGGCACCAGTGGGATCATGGGACTGCTGGGCTGGATGGGATCAGCAGTGGAGTCATGGGATCGCCGGGTGACGTGGGTGGGATCACGGCTGGGATCATTGGTGGGATCCCTGGGATGGTGGAATGGGTGGGATCACAGATAGGATCACCGGTGGGGTCATGGGATCGCCGGGTGACGAGGGTGGGATCACCGGTGAGATCACGGGTGGCATCAGTGGGATCACTGGGACGGTGGCATGGGAGGGATCGCTGGGATCACTGGGATGGCTGGAATCATCAGCAGGGCCATGGGATGGATGGGAGATACGAGTGGGATCACGATTGGGATCAATGGTGGCATCTGGGGGGTCCGCAGGATCACTGTGATGGGTGGAATCAACTGAATGATGAGTGGGATGGCTGGTGGCATCGGTGGGATCCCTGGTGGGATGGGAGGGATATCTAGGATAGCTGGGATCATCGGCAGGGCCATGGGATGGATGGGAGATACGAGTGGGATCAGGACTGGGATCATTGGTGGCATCTGGGGGGTCCGCAGGATCGCTGGGATCACTGGGATGGGTGGGATCAACTGAATGATGAGTGGGATGGCTGGTGGGATGGCTGGGATCACCGGGATGGCTGGGATCCCTAGTAGGATGGGTGGGATCACTGGGATGGCTGGGATCATCGGCAGGGCCATGGGATGGATGGGTGACACGGGGGGATCACGAGTGGGATCATTGGTGGCATCTGGGGGGTCCGCAGGATCACTGGGATGGGTGGGATCAATTGAATGATGAGTGGGATGGGTGGGATCCCTGTGATGGGTGGGATCCCTAGTAGGATGGATGGGATCACTGGGATGGTTGGGATCATCGGCAGGGCCATGGGATGGATGGGAGATACGAGTGGGATCAGGATTGGGATCATTGGTGGCATCTGGGGGGTCCACAGGATCGCTGGGATCACCGGGATGGGTGCGATCAATTGAATGATGAGTGGGATGGCTGGTGGCATTGGTGGGATCCCTGGCGGGATGGTGGCATGGGAGGGATGGATCGGATCACTGGGATGGCTGGGATCATCAGCAGGGCCATGGGATGGATGGATGACACGGGGGGGATCACGATTGGGATCATTGGTGGCATCTGGGGGGTCCGCAGGATCACTGGGATGGCTGGGATCAACTGAATGGTGAGTGGGATGGCTGGTGGCATCGGTGGGATTGCTGGGATGGCTGGGATCACTGGGATGGCTGGGATCATCGGCAGGGCCATGGGATGGATGGGTGACAAGGGGGGGGATCACCAGTGGGATCATTGGTGGCATCTGGGGGGTCCACAGAATCACTGGGATGGGTGGGATCAACTGAATGATGAGTGGGATGGCTGGTGGCATCGGTGGGATTGCTGGGATGGCTGGGATCACTGGTGCGGTGGGTGGGATGGCTGGTGGCATCAGTGGGATCGCTGGGATAATGGCATGGGAGGGATGGATGGGATCGCTGGGATGGCTGGGATCATCAGCAGGGCCATGGGATGGATGGGTGACACGGGGGGATCACGATTGGGATCATTGGTGGCATCTGGGGGGTCTGCAGGATCACTGGGATGGCTGGGATCAATTGAATGATGAGTGGGATGGGTGGTATCCCTGGGATGGGTGGGATCCCTGGGATCACTGGGATGGCTGGGATCCCTAGTAGGATGGCTGGGATCACTGGGATGGCTGGGATCATCGGCAGGGCCATGGGATGGATGGGTGACACGGGGGGATCACGAGTGGGATCATTGGTGGCATCTGGGGGGTCCGCAGGATCACTGGGATGGCTGGGATCAATTGAATGATGAGTGGGATGGCTGGTGGGATGGCTGGGATCACCGGGATGGCTGGGATCCCTAGTAGGATGGATGGGATCACTGGGATGGCTGGGATCATCGGCAGGGCCATGGGATGGATGGGTGATATGGGGGGGATCACCAGTGGGATCATTGGTGGCATCTGGGGGGTCCGCAGGATCACTGGGATGGCTGGGATCAATTGAATGATGAGTGGGATGGCTGGGATCCCTGGGATGGCTGGGATCCCTAGTAGGATGGATGGGATCACTGGGATGGATGGGATCAATTGAATGATGAGTGGAATGGCTGGTGGCATCGGTGGGATCACTGGTGGGATGGGAGGGCTATCTAGGATAGCTGGGATCATCAATAGGGTCATGGGATGGATGGGAGATACGAGTGGGATCAGGATTGGGATCATTGGTGGCATCTGGGGGGTCCACAGGATCGCTGGGATCACCGGGATGGGTGCGATCAATGGAATGATGAGTGGGATGGCTGGTGGCATCGGTGGGATCCTTGTTGGGATGGTGGCATGGGAGGGATGGGTGGGATCACTGGGATGGCTGGGATCATCGGCAGGGCCATGGGATGGATGGGTGACACGGGGGGGAACACGATTGGGATCATTGGTGGCATCTGGGGGGTCCACAGGATCGCTGGGATCACCGGGATGGGTGGGATCAACTGAATGATGAGTGGGATGGCTGGTGGCATTGGTGGGATCCTTGTTGGGATGGCTGGGATCATTGGGATGGTTGGGATCATCGGCAGGGCCATGGGATGGATGGGTGACACGGGGGGATCACGAGTGGGATCATTGGTGGCATCTGGGGGGTCCGCAGGATCACTGGGATGGCTGGGATCAACTGAATGATGAGTGGGATGGCTGGTGGGATGGCTGGGATCATCAATAGGGCTGGGATCCCTAGTAGGATGGATGGGATCACTGGGATGGCTGGGATCATCGGCAGGGCCATGGGATGGATGGGTGACAAGGGGGGGGATCACCAGTGGGATCATTGGTGGCATCTGGGGGGTCCACAGAATCACTGGGATGGGTGGGATCAACTGAATGATGAGTGGGATGGCTGGTGGCATCGGTGGGATCACTGGGATGGCTGGGATCACTGGTGCGGTGGGTGGGATCGCTGGTGGCATCAGTGGGATCGCTGGGATAATGGCATGGGAGGGATGGATGGGATCACTGGGATGGCTGGAATCATCGGCAGGGCCATGGGATGGATGGGTGACACGGGGGGGATCACGAGTGGGATCATTGGTGGCATCTGGGGGGTCCGCAGGGTCACTGGGATCAATTGAATGATGAGTGGGATGGCTGGGATCCCTGGGATGGCTGGGATCCCTGGGATGGCTGGGATGGCTGGGATCAATTGAATGATGAGTGGGATGGCTGGGATCCCTGGGATGGTGATTGCTGGGACTGGGGGTTCCCTGGGATGGCTGAGCTCATGCCACAGTGACACCCATGGGTGCCGGGCCGGGTGCTGGCGGCGCCGCGGAACGGGAGCACGGCGTCTTCCGTCAGCCCTCCCCACACAAACAGTGTCGGAGCGATGGCGTTTATTAATATATTAGTGGAGTCTTTCTTTCTTTTTGGTTAAACTTTTTTAGGCACTGCTTTGGAAGAAGGCTATCGAGTTTCGAAAGGGCAAAGGGGGAAGCGGGCCGGCGGCACGGCAAAGGCAGCACGGCGGCACGGCGGCGTCACGCCGCGCTCAGCACCGCCGCCCGCCCCAGGGCCAGCGCCAGCGCGGCCGCCTCCGCGGCACCGTGCGGAACCGCGGCGTATCTGCGCCCGAAGCTGGAGGACGAGTAGGAGGAAGACGAGAAGGTCATGGAGAAGCCGGAGCCGGTGGCGTCGAAGCTGCCGCGCCGCGAACCCGAGCGCGATCCGGTGCGGGAGCTGGAGCGCGAGCCGGCGGCGGAGCCGGCGCCGCTGACGTTGTAGGGGCTGTAGTAGCCCTTGGAGGAGCGGGACGAGGCCTCGAGCAGCCGCAGGCCGGTGCCGTCCTCGATCATGCTGCGCTCCATGGCGTCCTTGTAGGAGATCTTCAGCTTGGTCTTGGGGCACGTGAGGTACTTGGAGTAGGTGCCGACGTCGCGCAGCTTCTGCGCCGTGCGCGCGTCGATGGTGCCCTTCTGCAGCGCCTCGTCCAGGGAGACGCGGCCGGCGGCGTCGGGCTCGATGAGCCCCCCGGTCAGGTACTGCACCTCCAGGAAGCGCTGCCCGGCCTCGTAGTACAGCCAGCCCTTCTTCAGCGCCTGCGCCGCCGACATCTTGGTCTTGGTGCGCGGGTCCTCGAAGCCGGAGAAGGCCTTCTGCGCCAGGTTGATGCGGTCCACCATGATGCGGTCCACCAGCCCCCTGCTCACGGCGTCGGCCACCGAGCAGCGCTCGCCCGTGCCGGGGTCGATGATGCCGCCGGTGCAGGCCTGCGCCTCCAGCAGCCGCTGGCCCGTGATGTTGTCCACCAGGTTGCGGCGCATGGCCTCGGTGATGGACACCTTCTCCAGCGTGTCGGTGTCCAGGATGCCGGCCACCGGCCCCGTCTCCTCGCTGGGGTCGGTCCACGCGGCGCCCGGCAGCCTCGGCGGGGCCAGGCTGGCCGAGTAGGAGGACGAGGAGGAGCCGACGGAGGACGAGCGCGAGCGGAAGCCGCTCATGTTGCCGGAGAGCATGTCGGCGAACTCGGTGATGGAGAGCGTGCCGGAGCGGTACTGGTCCAGCGCCGACTGGTCGATGAGGCCGCGGGAGATGGCGTCGTCGATGTCGTACTGGCGGCCCGAGCGCCGGTCGATGATCATGGACTTGACCACGCCGTCCGAGGACGAGGTGGTGATCTCCTCCCACTCGCACTCCTGCTCCGACAGCTCCAGGTAGGTCTGGTGGTCGATGAGGCCCTTGCGGTACGCCTCGTACACCGACATCTCCTTGCCCGTCTCCGGGTCCACGATGACCACGCGCCGCTTGCGCACCGACGACTTGGACGACGTCTTCCTCTCACGCTTCTTCTCCTTCAGCGGCAGCAGGCGCAGCCCCGTCTCGGGGTCGGTGACGCAGCGCTCCATCAGCTGCAGGTAGGTGAGGTTCTCCTCCGTGTTGGGGTCGAAGAAGCCCTTGGTGTCGTCGCTGGGGTCGGACAGCACCTCGTTCATCTCCTCGTCGAACAGCCCGCGCTTGTAGGCCACCTCGACGGGCAGGCGGTGGCTCTCCTCGGGGTCGATGATGCCGCCGGTGGCGATCTGGGCCTCCAGCAGGCGCACGCCGTGGTCCCTCAGGATCAGCCCCTTCTTCATGGCCTGGAAGAGGGAGATGAGCTTCCCGGTGTAGGGGTCCTTGTAGCCGGTGACGGCGCGCTCGGCCGACAGCAGCTTGTCCTTGAACTCGGGCCCCACGATGCCCATGCGCACGGCCTCCTCCACCGTCAGCTTCAGGCCCTTGATGGGGTCGATGACGTAGCCGGTGGCCGCCTGCGCCTCCAGGAGCTCGAAGGCGGTGCCGGGCCGGATGATGCCCTTCTTCATGGCCTGGTAGACGGAGAGCCGCTCCTTGGTGGAGTCCACGAAGACGCCGGCGATGCAGCTGGTGCCCTCCAGGAACGCCTTCAGGTTCTTGGAGACCTCCTCGACGGACGTCAGCCCCTCGTGCAGCCGCTGCGCCGTGGCCTCGTCCATCACCTGCGACAGGACCAGCTCCTCCACGGTGATCTGCTTGCGCAGCCCGCGGAAGGTGAGCTGGCGCGCGTCGCCCAGCGGCAGCAGCAGCAGCCCGCTGCCCTCGTCCTTGCGGCAGCGCCGCTGCAGCTGCGTGTAGCTCAGCTTCTCGTCGGTGGACGGGTCCACGAAGCTGCGCACCTCGCTGGGCTCGCACAGCGCGTCGTACGTCTCCCTGTTGATGAAGCCGCGGTGGCAGGCCACCTCCAGGGGCAGGTGGAAGCCCAGGTGCGGGTCGATGACGCCGCCGGTGGCCAGCTGGGCGTCCAGGAGCTTGAGGGCCTCCTCGCTCGGCACCAGGTCCTTCTTCATGGCCTGGAAGATGGAGATCTTCTGCTCGCTGTAGGGGTCCCGGTACCCGGTGACGGCCCTCTCGGCCGACAGCAGGCGGTCGTGCATCTCGGGCCCCACCACGCCTCTGCGCACGGCCTCGTCCACCGACAGCATCTCGTTGTGGACGGGGTCCAGCACGAAGCCGGTGGCCGCCTGGGCCTCCAGCAGGCAGCGGGCCGCCTCGGCGCCGATCAGCCCCTTCTTCAGCGCCTGGTAGACGCTCAGCGTCTGCTTGGAGGAGGGCACGTAGATGCCGGCGACGCAGCCCGAGCCGTAGAGGCACCTGCGGACGGCCTCGTCCTCCAGCAGCTGGCGGAAGGTCCTGGAGCCGTCCTTGAGCAGCCGGTAGACGTCCTGCGAGATCACCTTGGCCTCAAAGAGCTCCTCGGCCGTGACGCGGCGCCGGCCGTAGTCGAA